GCCAAAGAATACATTGCTGCGCTGAGAAAAGCCACTAAACACTGCGAGTTCAAGGATCTAGAAGAACGGCTGAGAGACAGATTTGTATGCGGACTGAGGCATAGAGAATTGCAGCAGAGACTTTTCGCTAAAGAAGACTTATCATTCCAAGATGCCTTGAGAGAGGTTACTGCAGAAGAGGCAGCGGGCGGCGCCATCAAGAACATGAGGCCGATCAGAAGCACTCCAGAAGCTGTGTCCGTGCACCAGGAAGGTGACACCTTTGTCAGTGCTCATGCCCTGAAATGCCGCAAGCTCCTGTACATAGATGGGAGGAAACACAGTCTCCATGGTCTAGGGTGCACATTGACTATGCTGGGCCTTTTCAGGGTCAATTCTTCTTGGTCCTGGTTGACAACCATTCAAAATGGCTTGAGGTTGTACCTGTCTCTTCCACCACCACTGCAAAGACTATTCAATACTGAGGGGGATTTTTGCTGCACACGGGCTTCCTGATGTCCTCGTATCTGACAATGGCCCTCAATTCACTTCTTCCGAATTCCAAGCTTTCTTACAGGCCAACATGATTTGTCATGCCACCTCTGCGCCTTTCCACCCGTCCACCAATGGTATGGCTGAACGCATGGTTCACATCACCAAGGGCGCTTTGAAGAAAATTATCTATGGAGACTGGCATCACAGGTTGGCTGACTTCCTCCTTTCTTATCGCACTACACCTTCCACTTCTACTGGGAGGAGCCCAGCTGAACTTCGTTGGGGGCGCAAACTGACTACCAAGCTTGACTGGTTGCACCCGGACAGACTACCTTCCACAATCACACACCCCAGGGCACCTAGACAACTGCTTGTGGGTGCCCCGGTTTGGACTCATAACTACGGGCCTGGTCATTCATGGGTCCCTGCCACTGTGTCCAGGGTCACAGGTCCTTTGTCCTACGAGGTTTCCCTGGATGACGGTCATGTCCTGCGACAACACATCGACCAGCTCCGCACTAGACGGGACCTTCCCACTGAGACTCCTGGGAAGGGGAGGGGAGGGGGACCCCTTTGGGCAAAGGGAAGAGTGCGGGCTGCCGCCTATCATTAACAAGGGAACTACAGACAGCTCATTCCGAGATTCCACGAGTGCTCCAAACAGGAATTCATGGAGCCCAACTAGAACTCAGGCACCAGTGCCTACTCCAGCCAGGGAATCACCCCGGGGGCATAATCACTACTCACATGCATCACACAGTACTCCAGTCAGGGAGGATATCCGGGAGCGTCCAAACAACCCACACCCTGCAAGAGAGCTGGCACACATTCCGTCTAGTTGGCCCAACACTGCCCCTATCCCTAGAAGGGGGCAAGCACACAGGGAGGTGGTCGAGGAACCGAATCCCAACTACAACACCTCTGGCATCACTCAGAGGACAACTGAGTTTTGGGACAGTACTGAAACCCCAGCAAGTCCGGGTACAGAATGGGAACACGGGGAAAGACAACCTCTTGACAGGTCTAGGACAGACCTGGAAGGTTCTACAAAGTTGCCCAACAGTGATAGTCACTTAAGAGGGCCAGAGAGCCTGCAGCCAGGCAGGACAACCAGGTCAAACAGAGAAAGAAGCCCTGGCCTGATGAGCCCGGTGGGCAAGCAAGCAGGCCAGGCATTGGAGCACAGTCCTTGGGGATCACCAGGGCCTAGCAAGGGGGACAAGCATACATCACCCCTCAGTCAAGGGGTACTTGGAGGTACCCAGAAGTCAGGAGGTCACAGAGAGCTAAAAGATCTCCTAAGTATTTAGAAGATTTTGTAACCCTACTGGCAAAACAGAGTTAACAGAGAGTATTCCTGTACACATAGGAAAATAGAACACTGGGGAACAATAGAAGCAAAAAGGATAACTGGTACAAAGCTAGTATGGGTACCACACTCGTATTGGGTTGTATATTATTATTTGTATGATCATAGTCTTAGCCGGGGGGGAAGGGGTATTATGTCCTGAGCCTGTGAAAGCAGGCTCGGGGCATTGCAACGGTCCCGGGCAGGTGCAAGCTGCCCGGGACCAGACTGGCTGTCACCAGCACTCACGCGCATGCGCGAGTGCAAGCGCGCCAAATGTTGCAGTTTGGCCCGGGAATCGCCTATAAAAAGGGCAGGGAGATTTGGGCGTTGTCGGCGTCTTGTAACCAGTATGCTGAACAGAAATAAAGAGGTTCCTGAGAACTACAACTGCTTCTCGTGTCATTGCCATTTCGCGAAGGACTTAACACTGTCCATAATAAGAAGAATCAGATGCACAGGTACAAGAAAGATAGCACCTAGCTTAGTAGTAGTACTTGCGAGAAAGATTTGGATGTCCTGGTAGGTCACAGATCAAGTATGAGTCAGTAACATGCTATGGCTGCCAAAAAATCCTGTTCATGGTTCTGATCTATGCTACATTGATTTGATTGCATTGCAACTGGAATACTTCAGTTCAGTTTTGGTTGGCATAATATGAAAAGGATAGGTAGGAGATTAGCATTTTTATCTTAAAGAAGAACAAGTTAAGGGGAGGTATGATAGCAGTCTTCCATTTCCTATAGGGATGTCACAGGGCACTGATTTATTCTCCATAGTGCCCAAGGATAGGAGAAAAACCATGAGTAGATGCTTTATATAGAGAGATTCAATCTGAGATAAAGAGGAATGTCCTGAATGTCAAACCTGTTAAGTAGAGAAATAGCCTATCTTTTGGAATCAACTTGGAGAGCTATTTGACTGGGATTCTCTGAGGATTCCTACCCTGGACAAGACTTACACAGTCTCTTTTAACCCTATGATTCTATGATTCTATATGATTGTCTGGGAATAGCTCTTTCTATGCATATGATGTTCTGCAATAGTTTGGCATTCAGATGCTGAGAAATAATAGAGTTGTTAATATAAAAATTAGTGCAGGCAGGGATAATATGCAATTACTTCAATGACAAGTACTTTAGCTTATTTACAATGGAAGTCACTGGTTCTTAATGTTTTTGGAAAAACAAAAATAAAAGTGTTTATGGGCATCTACTGAAGTGATAAAAATCAGACATGCAATGTATCTTAATACTGATTAACTTAAAATTATACTAAAAATAATTGGAGGTTTAATTACATATGAAGAATCATCACAGGCAATATGAATCTTAACTGGCTTAACTGGCACCTCTTTTACTAATTAATCATTCACTCAGAATAATAATTTAAACCTGGAACTTGATTACTATCACTAATTCATACTAGCCTATTTGTTAATATATAATTTGATTGCAGTGATGAGGAAACATGCAATTATAGTTAGGGTACAAAATGATGACAAAACTTATACAGAATATATATACTGCCCTAAGACTCATTCATGTAAATTTAGGCAGCTCAACACTATCAACTCTCTTTTCCCATAATAATCTCTATGAGGGGGTCCTTGGTGCTCTCTGAGCTTGCTTGTTTTCTTGCAGACGTTTCATTATCTTAACGAATTAAGATAATGAAACATCTGCAAGAAAACAAGCAAGCTCAGAGACACCAAGGACCCCTCAATTCACCCCTGAACTACAAATATTCTCCTTCATTAGAATCTCTATTGTTAGCAATATGCAAGGTCCTGAAGATTAAGCTGTGGGAGTCTGTCAATGTTTCTGAATGGAGTAATAAAAAAGCATTCGTTCCATGACAGTTCTTCATCTCTAAAAATAATACTGATGGACCTTGAATTAAGAACTATTCATGGGATGACAGGATCATTTCCAAGGGAATTTGTCTTGGCCTTGTCGTTTTACTTTATTGCAAATTATGTTTGTGCTACTGAAATAAAAGTCTTCGCAAAAAAAAGAGATTAAAATGAGAAAGTGGGAATGTTTCCCATTTTAAAAAAAAACACAGCTGCTGCCTTGCTGAGCTAGCTCACATGTGTGAAATCTTCATAAATACTTACAACTTCCTGCATATTGATCTCCTATGTAGTAAACCTGTGATTTTATAAAATATATATTCAAATAGTATGCTATTACTGTATGTATATTATTTCCAATCCAGTTAGTTAAAAAGTAACTCCCTATAGAGATATGGATAAATAAACACCTCTCCATAGTCTATATCTATGGACATCAAGAGATTGCAACTGAAGTAAATATACTGTCAAATACCAACCAGACAGTCAGTCAGAGTCTGATAATTCCTCAATTCTAAACACAAAGGATTCAGACTTGAAAACAAACAAACATTCTGTTCCACAGTTATTATTCCCAGGAGCAATAAAATAAAATCTGCTCCAAAACATGATAAACTCCATGTCAGATTTGATAAATATCTGAAATGATCTCTGGATGACCCCTTATCCAGCAGCAAAATCTTGAAGTTGTCTGGCAGCAACAACAATAGCAGCAAGACTTTTTCCTATTTCAACATCACAGTTATTCCCAAAAGAGCAACATTCTAGGAAAGTATTAGAAATATCAAATAGTAGAATCAGCTATCCATGCCTACTCAGAGCGTTGGGACAGATCTTTGTTTTTCTACAGGGAGATACCATCAGTGCATCAGAGGCAGTTGCCCATGGATTCAGATAATGATGTCAGCCCAGATTTGGACTGGGAGCTGTTCCACTGATAAGGTCTGTCTACCTGGCATTATGATTTGATTCTAACAAGCTGATGCTCCAAGTCAGTTTTGGTCACATTTTGTTTGATAGCCCAGGTACTCATAGTAGGTTAATCTCATATTCACCACTCAGAATTACAAACTGAAATAAAGCATAAGACCAGTTGCTGTGCCTTATACAAGCCCCTTAATTTTTTATCTATTAATCTTACTTCTCTTCTCCATTTCACTCATTTGAAGATTCCATACTATTTTCAGAATGGACTCTTTGGATAATACCTGTAACTGTACATTTAGGCCTTTAAAATTAAAAACAGAAAATAATTAATATATGCAACATCCTGATTTGATGACTAATATGTTCTCACATAGAGAAGGAAAAGGAAATATTTACATCTTGATTGGTCATCTCCCAGTATGGTCTCTCTCCATAGGACACTACTTCCCACATCACAATCCCATAGCTCCAGACATCACTGGCAGAGGTAAATTTGCGGAAGGCTATAGCTTCAGGAGCAGTCCATCGAATTGGGATTTTTCCTCCCTAGAAATAATATATATATATATATATATATATATATATATATATATATATATATATATATATATATTATCTCAATAAAAATTTCTTGACATGTCAAGGATTTTCTAGAGAAAATGAGTATTTTTCTAATGTTTGGAAGGTCTCCTTCTACATTATTGCATCCTTTACATACCTTCAGATATATTAATTGCTGGTATTAAAGGCCTATTTGAATTTAGTTTGTATAAAAGATACAGTGAAATTGACATCTTAGTTAGGTCATTATAGCTGGTGAAGGAAAATACAAACAAGCATGCAGTCAACACAGTTTTATGTCATCTGTTTCTGAACTGTTAACTATATATTTAAAAAATACACACAAAACATCTTATATCACAGTTTTGAGGTCAAAGCTGTACTTTGGGCCTGCAAACAAAATCACTCATGATACACAAATTCTGAATTCAAATTATAAGTAAAAAAGGATATGTCAAAGGCCAAACCCATAACTATTTCTTTGTATGTTCAGTCTTAGAAAGAAATATTGGCATGTAATTCAATTATTGTTTAATAAGACATATGATAAAAATAGGAAAATGTTAAACAAATGGCTACTCTCAGTGAGAGCATAAGGTAGAATCATGATTGGGTATTTATTTACTGACATTCATTGATGATATGGTATCAGATACACTATTGTGACATCACCCGATTGTTCCTGTTCTAAGTGAATTTTTTTTTAACCTTGAAATATAAATTAGTATTAATCAATCTCCTTCATAGAGAGCAGTTAATTTATTTGTGCATGAAAAGAAACAATCTATTTAGCTCATGGAATAGAGTACATGGATAACAGTAGTAAAAATATATACTGTAAAAGGAGCATATGATACTATGATACACATAAGATGAAAATATGTAGTCAAATTTGTAAGAGTTATGGAATTCAAGAAGTTTTATATATATACAAGTTACAGGTCACATTTTGAAATACATATGTTGTGATTGCCAAAAGGCAGGATAGAAAGAGAGGCAAGAAGCAATAGTTTATATGGATGCTCAATAATGCAGATTACTTATACAATGAAGATATTCTTGTTGTGAGGTTTTTACAAAACCTAATATGTCCTTGGTGATTTATATTTTGTTTCTGTATTTATCCTAGAGCATAACTCTCATTGACAAAACTAAGAGATTGGCTAAGAGAAACCAACACAACATATGGAAGTTGGTTGAACTATGCCCCAAGTTAGCCCCCCTACTTTGGTTCTGCAGTAAAATAAATAAATGTTCACAAGAAACTTACTCTTGTTGTGTAAGCAGCTTCAGGATCATCTTCAAGAATTCGAGAAAGTCCAAAGTCTGACACTTTACACATTAAATTACTATTGATTAGGATATTTCTGGCAGCCAAGTCTCTATGTACGTATCCCATGTCAGACAAATACTTCATCCCAGAAGCTATTCCTCGGAGCATACCAACCAATTGAATTACAGTAAAATGCCCATCATTCTTCTGTAAAAAGTACAGCATTACAAAATTATAGAAGCAAATGACTAAATCTTGATTCTGACAAAGGAAAAGGAAATGCTAGAAATATCACAATATATTTTCATAATATGTTCCAAACCCTCAGGAGCAACTTAAGACAATCTATAATTATTATCAAGACTTTTACAACTATTTACCAGCAAAAAAGCCAGATTCTGATAGAATTTAATAACCAGATTGATTGAAAGTGAAATAGGAGTTAAAGCTTCAAAAAGTCTTGGCAAATGGTTACATTTACTTCCACACACCATTTATTTAGTTCTTTATGATGGCAATTTCTATGTCTACTTTCAATTGATGCAGTAAGGGAACAGCTACCTACTTCCCAGAAAAAGGAGGAACAACAAGATATTCTGAAATTATTATATTTTATAAACTGATATAGTTTTTTTTCCAGGACTTGCAATCCATCACAGTTATTACATCCGGAACACAGAAAAAACAGCAAAAATCCCAATTCTTTGCAAATTCTGTAATAATATCTATTTTCTCTCTCCTTACCACTGAAATGGGAAAGAAAACAAATAAATCCAGTAGCCTGGAGTTTGGTACATTAGCATGTCTCTGCTAAACAAAATGGGGAAACTGATCCCTGTACTTTGTCTGGGGTTAGAGTTAGGATAGTAAGTAGTAAGGTTGCTAATAATTTTTTTATAAGGCATGAAAGTTGGGAATGGGCAAGAAAGATGAGTTAAGAATTCCCTCTAATGGAAACAGATCCACAATCATATAAATCTAACTTCACTATAGTTTCAACTTATTACTGTTTATCTTTAAAAGAAGCCTAGAGCTGCTTTTCACTGGCATAGATTCATCATGTAGATGTGTTCTTAGTTGCCCATGACTTTTAGCAGCATAACTCTTTTTGATCAAGTGAAGTTCTTGTTGTTGTGGGGCAGGTCTAAATTTGAATCATTTACTTTTGGGACAGATTTTTTTGCTTATTAGATTTCATTCCATTTCACTGGAATATAGACTGAATATAAAAATATAGAGAATTTTAATAACAATTTTTATATAGTTAAAATAACATAGGACAAATATCTCCATATGTGGGAAATGGAAATAGAATAATAATAATAATAATAATAATAATAATAATAATAATAATAATAATAATAATAATAGCTCCTTGGGTGCAATCCCAAAACAACTGGAGCACCACTTGAACACCATTGGCATTGACAAATTCGCTATTAGTCAATTGCAAAAGGCGGCCTTACTAGGAACTGCTTCCATCCTGCGACGATACTGTAATACCATCAAACATCCACATCTGCCTATCCCAGGTCCTGGGTAAGGACTCGATAGGTAGACAAAATGCCAAATCCAGTCTGAACATCTGGCTGACTGTGCGATGATCGATAATAATAATAATATAGAAATATGGTGAGACGTAAATTTCAGAATGTCATACCGACTTGGATGTTGCCCAGGTTAACAAGGTCCATGCTAGATATTGGAGTTCCTGGATATCTGGTGAAAAATGGGTTACAGGGCTCAGGACTATTGGCTGAGCAACCAGGATCAGCAGTTGCAGAACTACTGAAAGAAAAGGTGTTTACCCATCGCAGATACACAGTGATTGAAAACAAAGAAATAATGATCTGTTACTACAGATCAAGTCCAACAAGAAGAGGATATCTAAAACAAATGCACCAGTTCTGGAAAGAACAACATCCAGAATCAGAAATAACAGAGACTAGCAGATCAACGCCAATTTATAATATGAAATAAAATATTCACAGAAACAGAATTGGATGAACTGCAAAGGTTCACCCAGGGCAAAGAAATCAAAGCCTTGCCAGAAGTAATTCATAATGTAGAGGCAAACCATGGGGAGTTGGCAGTGAAAGAATCCAGCAGAGATATACAACTGTTCTCATTCCTCTTCCTCAGGAAAAACAAAACCCACTAACTAAAGAAATGAAAGAATTGAAACAAAGAATAACTGAGCATCTAGAACAGCACAAAAACAACAGAATAAGGCTGCCTGCATTGAAGCTTGTTCCAAAGAAACAGCTAGCACAAGCCTTGAAAGATGCAAATACTGCAATATCAAGTATAAGCACCAATTCACTGCAAGAAACAAACCAACTAATGTACAGCACAGCTGTAGTTATAACTGAATACCTGGGATGCAAAATCAACAAAGAAGAAAAACAAACAAAAATGCACCAGAAAAATGGAAGGTTAAACTATAAAATAAGATCAGCAAGTTAAGATCACATGCAAGCAAGCTAGAACAGATGAAAGAAAAGAAGCTGAAGAACAAGAAGATCAAAGAATACCTAATCAAGAAATACCACTTAGAAACAAGGAAGATCAAGGAAGCAATGGAAATAATAAAACAACAAATAATAGCTATAGCCAGGAAATTCAGTAGATATGGAGCTCAAATTGCAAACTATAGGCAGAACCTCCAATTTTAATCCAATCAGAAACGTTTCTACCAATCCATCAATGGAGAAACTGCAATGAATCAGTCAGTACCTGACAAGGAAGAAACAGTGCAGTTCTGGAAGCAGATATGGGATAACCCAAAGAAATACAACAAGGATGCGGCTTGGTTAAAAGAGGTGGATGCAAATAAAACAGAAGTTGAAATGAAAGAACTAGTAATAACAACAAAAATGGTAGAAAAAAGAGCAAAGAAAATCAAAAATTGGTCAGCACCAGGTGAAGATGAACTGCATGGGTTTGGTTGAAACATCTAACTGTTATACACCCACTCATTGCCAAACAGTTCAACAATATACTACAAGGAGGAGAAATTGAAAAGTGGCTAACAACTGGGAAAACCTACCTAATAATGAAAAATCCAGCAAAAGGGGCAACACCAGGCAACTACAGGCCAATTACCTGCTTACCAACAACTTTCAAATTGCTAACTGGTGTGATAGCTGATGTAGTACAACAGCATCTAATTGAAAACAATCTCTTTCCACTTGAGCAGAAAGGAAACCACCCCAATAGCAGAGGAACAAAAGATCAACTCCTAATAGATAAAATGATTTTGGAAAACTGCAAGAAAAGCAAGACCAACCTGAATGTGGCATGGATTGACTACAAAAAGGCATTTCACTCTCTGCCACATGACTGGATAATCAGGTGCCTAGAAATAACAGGAGTCAGTAGAAACATCAGAAAATTTGTGCAAAGATCGATAGCACAATGGAAGACACAGTTGCAAGTCAATGGTAAGAAACTGGGAGAGGTTAACATCAAGAGAAGAATATTTGGAGATAAAAGAACAAAGGATGACAAGAGCTGCGTATAAACATAGAGAGAAGCAGCAGAAGAATAGTTAAACAACAGTAGGTACTACTACTACTACTACTACTACTACTACTACTACTACTACTACTACAGAGCCTGTGGGAGGAGCAAGACCAAAAAGATCTTCAACAATTGATCTTCAAGCTATGCTTCAGAGTCGGTAGGGATGGCAAAGCTCCTGACATGGAATGTTAATGGTTTGAACTCACCGCAGAAAAGGAAAAAAGTTTTTCATTACCAGAAGCAACATGACAATGACATAATATGTTTGCAAGAAACTCATATAACTTTAAAGGATTCTAAATATTTGACTAATTCTCATTTGGGATCACATTTTATGGCTCCAGCTCCAGGGAAAAAAGGGGGTGTTGTAATTTATGTGAAGAAAAATTTATCGGCTGAATTAATAGAATCTAATCCCCAAGGAAGATATGTTTTTATAGATTTACTACTGCAAGGCAAGAAATTTCTTATTGTTGGATTATATGCCGCTAATCAACAACAGAAGCAATTCTATACGTTTTTGCATGGAAAAATAACTCAGTTGGATTACAAATCTGTAATTATGATGGGAGATTGGAATGGAGTTTTGGATTCAAGAAAGGATAAAAAGGGTACTTTCAAAACTCTTACTCAATCTAAGTTATCTAAAGCATTTTTTGATATGAGAGATGAGTTGGAACTTATTGATGTTTGCGTGAAAGGAATATAAATGACAGAGATTACACTTTCTATTCGGACAGACATCAATCATTTTCAAGGATTGATTTTATTTTAATTTCCAATGATCTTTTTTCTAGGGTCAAGAAGGTTAAGATTTTTTCTAGGACATTGTCGGATCATAGCCCTGTGTGGTTGGAGTTATTTGTGGAAGATTGGAATAGAAGATCCTGGAGACTGAATAAGAATTTGTTCACTTGGGAGGAGTTTGTACAAAAATGTAAAGAACATTTGAAGGAATTTTTTGTTTTAAATATGAACAAGGGAACATCAATGTCTATGGTGTGGGATGCTAGTAAAGCTTATATGTGGGGAATTTTGATTCACATGAATAATGTTTTTAGGGGTAACTTGATACAAAAACATAAAGAATTAGAAGAAAAGATTAAATTAAAAGAAGAAGCCTTTGCTTTGAATCCGACGGATAATAGGTTAAAGGTTGCTATAAATATGCTTAGGGCACAATTTAATATGTTGATGGCAGATCAGGTGGCAACAAATTTGCGTTATATGAAACATAATACTTTTTGTAATGCAAATAATCCTGGGAGGTGGTTAGCTTATCAATTACGTAAGAAACAGAAAGTAAGAATTATAGAGAAAGTAAAATATAAAGGTACTGACGTTTTTCAATATAATTTGATTAAAAAGAGTTTTTTAGATTTTTATAGAAAATTATATGCTAGTGATAATATACATGTTGCAGAAGTAGAAAAGTATTTACAATCAGCACATTTTCCTAAACTTTTTAATGAACAACAAATTATGATGGATTGTTCAATTACCTCAGAGGAAATTGGTTTAGCTATTAAGCAGTTAAAAGTGGGAAAGTCTCCAGGTACAGATGGATTGATGACAATGTATTATAAAATTTTATCTGAGGAAATGATGGAGCCATTAAAGGAGCTTTTTAATAGTATTTTGTTGGGAGCTCAAGTTCCCCCTTCATGGAGAAGTGCGTTTAT